GCATGATGCCTCAGACTGCGCGGCTACGGCGCGGGACATTAAATGTATTATGTGTCGTATCAAAGTTTTAACATACAGCTAAATATTTTGTACAGAATTTGTAGGTAAGTTTGTGATGTATCTCCGTACAGAATTTTATCTGCCTAGTTCCATTAATTATTGCCTTCAAAACAAAAGCTAAATGCAAATTTTGCATGGTTACCATGTAGTAGTTTTACATTGTATACATAATTTACACTAACACATGTTCTGTGTTTTAAGTTTTCTATCGCATAAAGTTTCTTTACCTTGCAGTAAGTAGTATGAATATTATTTCCACCTTGCAATGGCATGGCTGCCATGTTGGCATTGCTGATGGCAGGAAATGAAATGAATGAAGATGGAGAGGTGACCCATTAGAGAATGTTTATTGAATAAAAAATGTGGGAGAGGGGAGAAAACTTGAAAGGATTAATGTGCAGACATGATACTAATGAGTTTATCATCCCTTGCTATTAAGGAATTTAGGCTAAAACAGATTTTTGTTCTACAAAGGACTAGTAGGGAGCAGACAGATGCTGTCATAGACGTGTGTCTGGAAAATAATATAACAGCAAGATGCTCTGCTTGTTAGGAAGTCAGATGGAGAAATCATGAAAAACTGTTTACCTGTCAAGGTATTACTTAAAAGATAAAAAAAATTAAGTAAATTTCATTCATTAGCTAAAAATATGAATGCAGAATATTGTAAATTTAAAGAAACTGGTTACTTCACGAATGCATTAAAGCTGAATGTGGGCTTTTAGCTGAGGCGTCTGACATTCCACTGCTCATTGTGCCTTTATGTGTTTATGTTCTGTGTGCTGCCTCATGGTTCAGGGAGAGTCATTGATCTGTGTGTAGTGTGGTTTCAAGTGGTTTTTGGTGGAATAATTATTGAATTTTAACTTTTGCAGGAACTAATAATTAAACAAGTTATAAAGGATCATGGTCTCTGTAGCAACACTTTTGTACTAAATACAGTTAAAGTGTATTATTAAATTATCCTAGTAAATATAATAGGTTTTATGATGGCTTTGAAAGGCTATGAGTTTATTGCTGTGCCTATCTTTAACAGAATATTTATGTGGATTTGGTTAAGAAGAAAATGAAGATACATCTTTGAAAAGTACACCAAAAATAAAATTGTAGAAGCTGTGGGGAGTGTTGTTGGAATCCATCATGTTGGAACATACGTTGCAAATACAAAATTTATCATGTAATCAAGTCGTTTAAGAGTGGTCTGTTTCAGTCTCAGATTTCATGTCATGACCCCATATTAAATCTCCTATAATGAGAAGTGAATAATATGAAATGCTGATCCATAGGAAACAAGGATTTCCAGATTTGGGGGTTTGTTCACATGGAGTTTTATTTGTATGGTTGTGTCCTAAACACTGTCTCAGTTCCAGGCTCAGGAACCAAGAATTTACTCCACTACTTAAGTAACACATGCCCTTAACTCTTAAAGACTCAGGTATTTTGTATTCTAAGGACATAAATATCTATTTTAACAGTGTGCCCTGAGGAACTGTTCAATGAATTGTGTAAATCAAATGCAGCTAGAAAGATTAAGACACTGAAAGAGATCAACATAGCATTCTTACCATATGAATGTCAGGTTTGTTATCTCATATATGGGTAAACTATATGTCTTCTTTCTCCAGAAGTATGAATTTGTGGTAGTTACAGTGCATGAAGCATGAGCAATGGATAACGTATATGTATGTGTTTATATATATCAGCTCAGAGCCACTGTATTAAAATATATGTTCTGTCACTTAGGTCAGTGACTGTGGCCATTGGCAGGCCTTTGTATTGAACCGTTAGATTCTGTTCTTCTTCTATGGCTCTCTGGTCCTTATTCGGTCCATGGCCTCCTCAATTCTCTTCCATTCGGTCCTATTTAGTCCGAGGCTTTGATTGAGGTTTCGAAACATCTTCCTTTTTACGGTGCAAGGTTGTTAGCCTTGCGACTAACCCCCAACCTGGAGGACCAGGGTACCTGTCTTAGTCTGACCTCTTCCCCTTGACCAATCTGGCTAAGGAGGCCCTACCAGTAGCTATGCTACCGCCACTGAGGTACTCAAGCCTCACCAGCATGACAAGGTGTAGGTACCCTTAAGTGGGGCGTTAGATTCTGTTATCAGGGAATTATTTATCAGTACACTTAAAATTCCTACACTTACGTAATTTCATGGAAACATACATTGTTCATTCAGTATACAGGTTAGTTGGCAAGTTGCATGGTTTCATAAAGTGCTATTTTATTTGTATTTTAATAAATTTGGCACTAAGAAAGCATTTTTATGTTTTGTGTAGTGTGTGAATCTACTGCAACATTTATTATTACCTAAAAAGTTGCTTGCCACATCTAGTACATCTACAGAGATTGTCTGTTAAATCATTGTATCGGCTTTACTTACATAGCTACATATGCATCTTTTGAATATATGCCAGTAACAATTTTGTTTTCCGTTGGCATGTTTGTGTAATAACAGTTTTATTTTCAGCGATTTTCTTGTATTACTTTAGACACATATTTTTCAAAATCATATTTCGGGGTTAATTTATTCCTTTTATGTACTATGGCCTAGAAGTCTAGATTCACCCTTTGCTGCATGTAAGTCAACAGAACACTAAATATTTCATGCTGTGTTTAATGTACCAAGATGTAGAATATAGAGTACATTTAAATCAACTTATCTGACACCATCACGATGTAGTGAATTTCATTGATGCGGCAAAGATTTCAGATGTTACTGTTCTGAAGTAATATTTGAGACTGAAACAGATCTGTGTTATGAAAGACTAATGGAAAGATGTCTAAAATAGCATGGAATGATAAATGTTATAATATTCATTTGCCATGAAAGTATTAAGTAATACATACTGAATGATAAAGTTTAAGAAGTTTGCTTTTGTACAGCAGTAGTTTTTTTTTTGGCTTTAATTTGTTGCATATACATTTTTATTCCTGCTTTAAGCTTGCGTCTCTTTTAAGGAACCATGCTTAGAACATTTTATTGTTATTGCTGCTTTGCATTTTGTTTACTTGTGACATACTTATTAAACTAATATATTTAGTATCTCAGATAAAACTTAATAATTAATAAATATCTTAGAAAGTGTTTTAGCATTTCATTATTGAACATATTGAAATTATCAAAATAACACCTGATTGATGTCATATTTAGATACTACCAACACTTATTAAAATCCGTTCTAAATAAAAAGTATCACACCTTGCACAGACTTTAAAGTTTAGCGTGAACTGCGTATTGACGGTACTGTTATGTTTTCATTGGCAGGTTTTCTCGCTGGACTCACCCAATACATTCCAGTACTTCTACAATCCAATGTTAAGTGGCAATCGTACTGCTAACATGGAACGCATGGCTGAACAGATAGCTACACTGTGTGCTACACTTGGGGAATACCCTTCTGTAAGATATCGCAGGTAAGTTGACAGGGTTGAACAAGTCAGTTTCTGCTTCTGCTTGCCCTCAGAAAATTAACAGTTACAGAATATTGTTGGTTGGCATCTAAGTGTGTTTATGATGATCTGATCTCTGTGCACTTAGACACGAACACACAATCTATTATAGAAGTGGGAACATCAGTAGTGTTGACTATATTACTACCAATGATAGGGTGATCATGATAACAGTGGTCTGTAGAAGGGATCTACAGGTTAATGTAGACTCCAGACAATGATGGGGGCACTAGTATTCTTCACATTCCTAAAGTTCTTTTATCAGAGCAGAAAGATGTACATTCAGATTTGATCAGGGATCAAATCTGGAATTTTCTAGTGTCTTGCCCTGGGACCACCAAGTCCCCCCTTGTTTACAGAATATGCAATGGAAAATTTTAAAAGCTGTTTTAAGGGAAATCTATTTAGTTTTGAAGTTAATTAGCTTATGTTCACTGTAAATGTTAGTAAACTGCATTAACAACAAGTCTACAGACTCACTTTTGTGTAATTATTATGTGCCCTTTTGTCCCTTCCAGAGTGTTAAGGAGGAGAAAATATGGATGAGAAAGAATGTTTGATGAAGTGTAGAAAATTAAAGTTCTTAGGATGATATAACAGAAAATATGGTAGTTCTTCACATTTTCCTCATATTTATCAGAATTTATACTTGAAGCACCAATATGTATTTTGCTGAATAATGGATAACATATGCAGGATTTGAGGTTCTCATGACAGTGAGTACAAAGATGGCTGTCTTCTGAGTTGTAGCACCATGTAGTCTGGTATCATCAGGTCGTGATAATGGAGGCAGCAAGGATCTCTGACTACACAGCACTACAACCCAGAAGACAGCCATCAATGAACTAACTAACTAACTAACTAGATGGCTTACCGAACCCGAAGGTTCATCACCGAATTAACCAAAGCCCTCCACCGGACCCTGTCCTGGGCCAACAAAATCCAGTCTCCTTCAACTCCTA